CGGGTAAAGGGAGGAGACAGAGCTCTGCAGACCTGAGCAGGGGTTAAGGAAAATGTGGTGGGCAGTTAAAACAGGGCAGATATGGCAGTGTTTGAATACCACTCCTGAGCCTGGAAGGTGCATTTAATGGGACTGTAAAACTCACGCAGCATCGTACCTTGGGGTAAATTATAGCTCACCCTCAGCATCACCTTTCTGCGGTACTTACTGCCATTAAGTGCTGGCAGTTCAGTAGGCTACAGAGCTACCAATATACATTTGACAAACACTTCTATCAATTTTTTTTCTACTGGTGGGTACAAAAATGGGGAGAAATGCAAAAAAAGGAGATGCTTATTTTCAAATTGCCAGAAAATGCCCTAAAATAATGAACAATTTTAAATGTAAGATAGTTTAAAGCAATAAATTTTGATCTATAAGCTATTTATGTTGTGATCTGTTTTTTCTATTGCTCATAAACGAAGTAATTTATATAAAAAGAAAAGGAACATAAATTCACGTATCTATCTACTATTCTTCATGTCCAACGGAACAAGAGGTGGGTTGGGATATAGCCTGCTCCTTAGAGCTGACTGGTCTATAATTTTAAGCCTTAAATCCTGTAATCAGGTTCAGTAGTACAGCCCTGCATCTGCAGAAAGCCTTGCTGGTCTGCTAGCAGCAACCCATGAGGTACCAGATCCTTCTGAAGGATCTAAAGATTTAAGCTAAACAAAATTTGGTTTCAGAATGAAAGTTCATTCTGTGCTTATAGTTGGAAAATATAAAAGAAAGTACAGGAAAATTCATACATTTGGTCTGTGTTATCATTAAATTCAATGGAGTAATTTCAAATCAGTAATGACATAAAAGTAATCTGAACTTGGCCTTTGAGGTTATATTCCATTAGTTTGCTAATACTGTGTAAATTCTATATTTGAGAGCTATCCTGCAGTCATCTTGGCCCCTCTTTTTTAATGGAAAATTCTGCTTAAAGTCTGATACAGCTTGGGCCATTATTTTATAACTTCTTTTTAAATCAAGACTAATTTTTTACAGTCCATATTTGTGTCCATGCACAACATCAAGCCAGAGAGAGTGGCGAGAACAAATTTGTTTTCAAGTTGCCAGTCAATAAATAGCTCCAGCTAAAGAAATTATGCAGAAAATAAATTCCTAAAACACACCATAAAAATCATGTGTACAGCTAGAAAAGATATCTGACTAGAGATACTAGTTCCACACCTCCTTATGGTTGGTGAGTACCAACTATTAAAAGCCGACAGTGTCAACCATTTGGCATATTTGTTGGCCTGTTTTATTTATACAGAGTGTCTAGGCTAGCCATAATTTCACTGCTTTCACAAAGTGCAGCTTGGGCTTGATGAAAGAAAACCTACAGTGGTGACAGAAATAATCTGAAAAGTTGCAGAAGTAAAATACTTGCTAGGTTGAATACAGGAATACCTTCAGCATGCAGGAATACCTTATTGTGTGTTGTCCCGCTCTGGACCTAAAATGGCTGTTTTGCAGGGAATGTTGTTGCCTGGTGACCAAAAGTGCATCTCCTAGGCCACAGAGGGATGTGAACATTCAGAAATTGATTTGTTCCTGTTGCTCTTGAGGAGACCATATCCGCAAAATAGATTAAGCCAGCACATAATCATCTATGCATTCTCCTTGCTGGCATGCTTAAACTTGATACTGAAGACAGGCCTGTGATTTTGAGCTACTTATCAACCAGGCAAGGGTAAAACAGAATAATACCTCGTGCACTACTGCCCACAGAATATGAAAGTAGACCAAGCCTGAGCTACTGTGAGACTGCAAGACACCCTGCTTCAATTAAGTCTGTGTTGTACATCTAACCTGTTCCGGTGCAACCTCCCAGTTGCTATCAGGCTCTCTTTCTTTCATTAGAATCAAGTAGTTAATTAGCCCCAGCCTGTCCTCTCTCCTTCTCTCTTTCCCTTTAACGCAGCAGTAATGATGTCTAATTACCAGCAGCAGTGGATTACAGCACCATCAGGAGCAAATCTCTGGCTGACAGCAAAGCTGAGCAGCAAATCTTAAAGCTTCAAGGAGAGAATAATTCCTAACAAAGTATTTGAATATTTGCTTATTTTTGACCAGCTTGTAACTGTAGAGTCCAACTTGTAATTTTGTCCATCTTGTTATTGAACAGGGAGTGCTCATGCAGTGATTAATTTTAAATTGAAACTACTTTTACCTATGGTGAGATTAAGCTATGGACAAAAAGAGGGAGAGGATGAAGGAGAAATTCACAGTTTGGGGCTGTGCTACCATTTGGAGCTCTCTCTGAGGACTGGACAGGCCCAAAGGTATGGGATAACCATGAGAGAGGGGAGAGGGAAAAAAAAATATCACAAATTAATAAACCCTTAAATAATAATTAAGAATTAAAGAAATGAGAGAATGGGATTTTAAGGCTTACCAACAATTATTGTCTGATGATAATCCAAATTTTTCCCCCTGTAACTTATCATTGCCATCTGGGTGAAATTCTAGACCTCATGAAGTCAATAGGAGCTCTGCCACTGACTTTCTCTGCACCAGGGGCTGCATCCTTGTTCTGTCAAACACGTTCTTTCTGAGCCTTCAGTGTCTGGCAGCGCTGCCCTGGCCCTGGCAGTAGGTCACACAAACCACTGCCACCCTGTGGGTCTGCTTAAATACTCCTCTGCCTTCTGTGGTGGGATAGTGACATCAGATTCAAGGGTTTAGGAGGGGCTGGCATTTGTTTTTCAGAGCCGAATGTTGCCGAGCATCCCCTTTTCCCATTTATGTTGGACAGCAAATTTCTAATGGCCAGCAGGAGGAAATTGTACCTCCATAAAGGACCTCTTCCAAAAAGGTTTATATGTCATTGCTCAGGTTATATACAGATATTCAGGAATTGTTTACAGATAGGTCATGCAAACTTTTCCTTTCCTGATTTCATTAGCAGTCCTAATTTTATTACAATTCCTGCTTGGTTGCTAAACTATCTAAAGAGAGTTAGTCCTATATGAATATAAATACATACATATGGACATACAGAGACATTCACAGCCAAAGGTGGGATTCTCACAAATGTACATAAGACCTTCAAGATGCTCGACCTCTCACTGAAATCCCTTGTGGGAAAAAATAAAAATAGATTCAGTGTTCTTAAAATGGAAAACAGAATAGAAGGTGGAACTCCCGACTTTCATGGCCTAGCAAAGGTGAGAGAAAATAAATAAACTGATCATCACTGAGTCTTGTGTTTCAGAGGACCAGAAAAGCACTTAATTTTTAAATTTCATCATGTAAAATTAAGGTTATCCTCTTTATTTAATAAAGTCGGCAATGTCATTTTTAAAAATACTGAATTTGCTTACAGTTTTGAACTCGCAGTGAAAATACAGTCTTGGGAATAAACAATCTTGCCCATTGGTCCTTCAAAATAATTATTTCAGTGAGCAGAAGAGATATTTAAAATTACTAAGTTAATTGGAGACTTCTGCTTTAGGCAACCTTTTTGTTATAAATTGTATCTGTGTTACTGTCTGGGCTCAGAGATGAGCAATCAATCCTGTAACAGTAAAACACAGATCTGCCAAATCATCTGAATCTATAGACAGACCTGAAACACTTCAGTGAATAAAAATGATAGAGAAGGAAAAAACTGTCCAGATCTTCTCTTTTACTTCAAATCTCCATATTGAAGATCTCCTTAAAATTAATTTCCCACTTCTGCCTCCTCACAGCCATGACGGCACTGATGACAAGGGGGCAAATACAAGCCAGCCCCTGGGAATGCCCAGGTTTATGACTTCAGCAAGGCAAAGAGAGGCAGATTTCCCCGGCAGCCTACGTCACAACCCAACCCAGAATACTTTCCAAGAAGCCCCCTTTGCTGCGCCACCCAGCAGCCTTCCCGTTAGGTCCGGATAAGCTGCCACTCCAGGAAAAAAAAAAAAAGAAAAAAAAAAAAGAAAAGAAAAAGAGAATATTGCTCATCCAAGCCAAATGCCCAGGCAGGAATATTTTTAATTGCCGGGTTTCCTTTCTCGGCTCCCCCTCCACACCCGCCCCACGCACAGACAAAAGAAGCTTAGCTTGCGTGACCCAGCGCATAAGAAGTAAGAATAATGATACATTAAGACTTCAATAGGCAAAACCTACTTGCAACCAACAGTCCCCATCTTCTTAAATAGGAAAATCTGTCGCTCCTGCCACCACCAAGCATAATAGCTCTCCCGCTGTCAGACCTGCGCCGAGCCCGTAACGCCAGCGCCTGCCGGGGATGCCACGCTACCCTAGCGCATCGAACGGAGTGCCGAGGGGCTCCTGCGACCCCAGAAAGTGTCACAAAATACACCCTTCCCTCGGCCATGCGGAACCCCGTCCTCCCTTTGTTGAGCATCCTCTCTCTCCCGCCGCCCCTTACTAGCGCAGCCGGCGCTTCACAAGCCAAGCCGGGCACATTCGTGGCCGCTCGGCGGCGGCGCCAGGGCTGCGGGATAACAATAAAGAAAAAAGAATAAAAATAGTACTAATGAAAAAATAAATAAATAAATAAACCCCCAACAGATATCCCGGGGAACCACCGCCCGGCGCCGCGCCTGGCTTTGTGCCAGGCAGGGTACCCCCGTGCGCCATCCATCAGCCCCGCCGGCGGCGGGGGCCGCTGCCCGGGGCGGCGGGGCCCGGCACAATGGCCGGAGCGGCGGCGGGACAATAGCACACCCCAACCCCGCCGCAGCGGCCCGGGGGGAACTGGGGGGAACGAGGAGGACGAGGAGGAGAACGACACCGACCCGGCGGGGTGCGTTGTGCGCACGATCGCTTTAAATAAAAGGACCCACAAAGACCTCGGCGGTGTATAATGTGACAGGCAAACGCAACATGGTGATGATGACTTGGGGGAAGAGGGAGGAAGGAGCCAACTGTGGCTGCGGCTCCCCCTGCGCCTCTCGCTCCCGGAGCGGGCTGCAGCGGCCGACATAGAACAAGGAAGACAATTCTCTACTAACCGTGGTTTTGACTGGCACGTACAGCACTTGCTTCCCTCCTCCAGCACCACCACTGACCTCGTCCGAGTTGCCGAGCTGGAAGCCTTTAGATTTGACCCAGAATTTGAATTTGGCATTATCCGTGGAGCTCGACTCGGAGCCGTTCAGGAGCTGGACGATCCGGTCGTATTTTTTACGGGTCACCGTCTTGGTTTTTCCTGAGTCCCCGTAAGTCCTGAGACACCAGTCCTGAAACTGGCGGTACATGTCCCGGTCGCTGCTCTCCATAATCTCCTAATACACACACGCACACATGCACACGCCGGGGCGCACACACACACACTCGCGGACACGCACACAGACACGGGCAGACACACGGACTCGCACACACCGCCCCGAAGCGGGCCGGGGTGCGGGGCCGGGCCGCCCCGCCGCACTTTGCACCTGTTCACCCAGCGCTCATGAAAAATGCATCCACCTCCGAGCCGGAGCGAAGGAGGTCCCGGTGCAGGCAGATCCCAGCGGATTTTTTTTTCCTTTTTCTTTCTTTCTTTTTTTT